TTACCTACTGATTCCATGTCAAAACTGAATGATAATAAGGGCACCTGGGTGGCTCAGTGGGTTAAAGCCTCTGTCTTTAGCTCAGGTCATGATCCCAGCGTCCTGTGATTGAGCCCCACATCAGGATCTCTGCTCAGCAGGGAGCCTGCTTCCCACTCTTTCTCTCTGCCTACTTGTGATCTCTGTCTGTCAAATAAATAAATAAATAATCTTAAAACAAAACAAAACTGAATGATGATATATTTTCTTTATGGCATTGTTTGTAGGGTAGATCTTTAGCCATATTGCTAACAGCATGTATCTTTTCAGACCTGACAAATTATAGCCTGAAGGGTTGTATTTTTATTCATGTAACAGTGTGGACTTGAGCTTCAAGGGAAGAAAAAAGTCAAACTACTGAAGTTTGAATATTTTGATAAATATTAAATGGTAAATCAATCTGGTTCTATAGTAGCTGCACCAACCATGCGGGCTTGGAAACAGATCCTTCTTTAGTCTGTAGATGAGACCCCAACCCTAGCTGATATATTCATTGCAGCCTTTTGAGAAATTCTAAAGCAAAGGGCTCAGTTAAACTATGCCCAGGTTCCTGACTCACAGAAACTGTGAGATTATAAATGAGTTTTATTTTAAGCTTCTGTATTTGTGGCTATTTGTTATATAGCAATGTAAAACTAATACTTTGGTGTATTTTTCAGCTAGGGCTGCCGTAACAAAGTAACACATATGCGGGGTTAAACAACAGAAATTTATCTTAGCAAATTCTGGAGGTAAGAAGTCCAAGATCAGAGTTTCAACAAGTTGGTTTTCTCCTGAGGGCTCTCTCCTTGCTTATAGATGTCTTCTCCCTCTGTCTTCATGTGATCTTCCCTCAAGGTGTGTCTGTTCTAAATGCCTCTTTTTACAAGAACACCAGTTACGTTAATGTAGGGCTTACCCTAATGACCTCATTTTAACTTAATTATCCCTTTAAAGACCCTGGGTCCACATACACACTCATTCTGAGGTAGTAAGAGTTAGAAGCTCAACATATGAATTTTACAAGACACAGTTCAACCCATAAGAATAAGCTATATAAAATTCTGTAATTATGTTTATCTTTATAGCTAAAACTCTATTACCACATACCGTTGGTAAAGATCTTTTGTCATCTTGTTTTTCTTTAATATATAGTTATCTGGTGATGTATATAAATATTAATAATATATACATAATACATATCACATGGTATAGCATATGTATTTGCATATCCCTGTCTCCACAACAAAATTATAATTTCTATAAGCATATGTTTTACATAGGATACTTTGCAGGAATTAAGAACCATATACCATACTAAACCAGTGTTTTCCAAATGGTACATCATGTTATAAAGTTATGCCTGGGTGTAAAAGAAGTACAATAAAGAGCAATGAATTTTAATGTAGCAGAGTAAAATTTTATTACATTAGAAAATTTATTATATTCATGTTGAAAATTAATTTGATTTAAATATTAAAGTTTGTGACTATTGATATGGTTCATAAAGTACATTGATAAAGTTTCAGATTTCACAGGGCAACTAACCTTTAAAAAACTATCACTTGTTTAGTTTTGGGATGATTTTTGAGAACAATATACACCATTATTTGAAAAGGCTGTGACATACTCTTCCAACTACATACCCTTGTAAGGTCAGATTCTATTGGTATACTTCAACCAAAACAACCTAGTACAGTAGATTGAATATAGAGGCAAACATGGAGAATACAGATGTCTTCTGTTAAGTCAGACCTCAAAGAGATTTGGCAAAGATGTAAAACCTTGTTACTCTTTTTTTTTTTTTTTTTCATTTCAAAATCATTTTTTAAGTGTAATTGACACAATGTTATAGTAGTTTCAGGTGTACAACATAATGATTGGGTAAACATGCTATGCTTACCCTAAGTGAGCTACTAATTGTCCTTATACATGCTTTTCTTTTTTTTTAAGATTTTATTTATTTATTTGACAGAGATCACAGGTAGGCAGAGAGGCAGTCAGAGAGAGGAAGGGAAGCAGGCTCCCTGCTGAGCAGAGAGCTGGATGCGGGGCTCGATCCCAGGACCCTGAGATCATGACCTGAGCTGAAGGCAGAGGCTTTAACCCACTGAGCCACCCAGGCACCCCATCCTTATACATTCTTATTATAATGTCATTGACTTTTTTTTTTTTTAAATAACAATATTTTTCCATGAAAATGTTATTGTGCTGGAGTTAGAAAATCAACATTTTGCTACTATCATAGTAAAGACTGGTTCATGCAGGAGTCATCACAATCTATAGGGGAATTTTGATGAAGACCAGGGTGTTTTCTTGGCCATAAAAAGTCTCACCACATTTTTATTAGTGACAAAGGAAAAATTAAAAGAGAATATTTAGCAGAGAAATTCAACAGCACATTGACCTGGCAATCAAAGTTACCATTTTTGAGAAGCAGTTGGACAGTGTATACTTCCATATGTGACAGCCGGAGGAGGATAGTGTTCTAGCTGAGAATGCATAGCCTAAATCAAATCATGAGCAAACATCTGACAATACCAAATGAGAATCATTCTTTTTTTTTAAAGATTTTATTTATTTGACAGAGAGAGGGAGAGAGAGATCACAAGTAGGCAGAGAGGCAGGCAGAGAGGGGTAAGCAGGCTCCCTGACAAGCAGAGAGCCCAATTCAGGGCTCTGGTCTGGGGACCCTGAGATCATGATCTGAGCCAAAGGCAGAGGCTTAACCCACTGAGCCACCCAGGCACCCCGAGAATCGTTCTTTTTAAAAGATAGACATGGTATTCTTCAAAACTGTCAGGTCATAGAAGACAAAAACTATGGGAATACTCCAGAGTAAAGGAAACTAAGGAGAGATGACAACTAAATGCTACATCTGACCCTAGGCTGGATCTGCATTAGAAGGCAAAAACCCTATAAAGGGCATCTTTGGGTTAAATATACAAAATTAACATATGGCTGGTAAAATACTTTATTGATGTGGCATTTGCTGAAGTTGATAACTATACAATGATTTTAAGAGTATCACAATTTTAAGGTAATATACCTTAAATCTACCTTTGGTTCTGAAATTTTAGGGGCAAAAGGGGCCTTCATCTTTGTAACTTACCTTCAAATTGTTCAGAAAAAAATTAGGTATAAATATAAACACGTGTGTGTGTGTATATACATACATATATGTATGTATTTGGTGTTAAATATGTGAATACATATACACATACACAGACATATATGCATACATAGAATATAAGTGATTTTTTTAAATGGGTAAAATGTTAATAATAGATGTTTCTGAGTAATCTGTTATATAAGTGTTTTTAGTACTGTTCTTCATATTTTCTGTAAGTTTCAGTTACTTCCAAATAAAAAGTTTAAAAATTAAATGCAGTAACTTATGTTAATGTAATGGGTTCATTATTTTTTTAAATGAATTAATATATATTTAACTTTTTTTTTTTAAGTTTTGTTTCTCATAGAGTAAGCATGAATAGATCTAATCCATATGAATAAAACTCTTTGGGGTCCTTGATAATTTTTAAGAGTGTTAAGAGGTTCTGAGACCACAAAGTTGGAGAACCGTTGGTATAGACTATGTGTGGGTAGTTAGGTAAGTGTTCCTCTCCTCCTTTTAAGGCTATTTTACGACTCTAGTTAATGAGAGCTGATTTGGTAGATGCCACTAATAACTTAACCTCTTTATGCCTTAGTTTTTATAATTTTAAAATAGGGATATAATATTGCCTAATAAAATAGGGATTAATAATATTAAAATAGGGATATCATAATTATATATAATAATATATATAAAATAGGGATATAATATTTATAATTTTAAAATAGGGATATAATATTTAAAATAAGGATATAATATCCTCAGAGGACTATTTTAAGGTGTAAGTCAGGTGTCTATATAAGGCTCTTAACTATTAACGATTCTGCAGTGCTGTTTTTATTGGCAATGTGTGTTCCTGCTCTTTATTGCTTCTTTTTGTCATTTATTATTATGCTTTGGCCAGTGATTTTGGTTCTAAATATATGCATAAGAACCACCACAAAGAAACCAAAGAAGAGTATCAGTTCATAAACTGCAAGTTTACAGTGGTCATGCCCCTTCAAATAAATGATTAGGGAAGCATAGAAGGGTAAAGATGAGCAAGCAGTTTGGGATTTTTGGAAGTCTCTGATAGAATAAAGAGCATAATAAACCTGGGAAGGGGGTGCCTGGGTGGCTCAGTGGTTTAAGGCCTCTGCCTTCGGCTCAGGTCATGATCTCAGAGTCCTGGGATTGGGCCCCATGTCAGGCTCTCTGCTCAGCAGGGAGCCTGCTTCCCTTCTTTCCTCTCTCTCTGCCTGCCTCTCTGTCTACTTGTGATCTCTGTCAAATAAATAAATAAAATCTTTAAAAAAAAAGATAAACCTGGGAAGTTGGACCAACGACTGTATGAAGAGTAGTTGATAGAAAATATGACTGGACAGGAAATACTTCTTCATTGGGGACAGACTGGAACCATACTTAGCACTATTTCCTTGGTATTTCAAATTCCAGATAGGCATTCTCTGATTAAATGTGTATGTGTGTATTGGGTTATTTAAGTTTTTATAATAATATATACTTAAGGTAAAGAAAGAACACTACTATTTTGTGACATTTTCCCTGTTTTCTCAGCCCTGTCTAAATTCAGCTCTATTCGGTATCTCACTCTATCAAGCATCAAGCTAATGAAAAAGAAAGGAAATTAGATTTTTAAACTATATTATGTTCACCTAATTGCAAATTATCACTTTTTAAAAAAAAACAAGTGTGGCTTTATTCTTTTCAACTTTTTCTCTTTTACAGATAACTATAACAATATAAGAAACTATCACTTTTTAAAAGATCAAAAGATACATAAATGTAAAGGCTTTATGTCATTTCAGTATGCTATTTTATTGTCTTTTAACCTTCTTTCCTAAGACTTGTGATTTGTTTTTTTAAACAGATCATCAGAAACTGGAAAGAGAAGCTAGAATCTGCCGTCTTCTGAAGCACCCCAATATTGGTAAGGAAATCTTTTCAGTGTATTTTAAATGTTAATGTTTATGTTATGTATTTTTTAACCACAACATGTGCTTTAGTAATATTACTTTAGTAAACTAGACTGTTTGCAACTTTTAAGAAATAAGTTTCTAATTTTTGGTTTTGGTTACATTTGATTCTTCAAGAGTTTTTGAAATGTTTTTCAAAAGGTAACAGTTAATGTACTAATACTTTAAAAATAGTATAAAGTATTATTAATTGAGTAGTGCTTTTATGTGTCTTCAAGGATTGTTCAGTTGCTGCTGCTGAAGTTTGGAGAGACAGAATTTATGTCATTATTTTAGTCAGCTAAGTTACTTTTTACCTATCCTACAAGGAGTTTTTCATATAGTTATTGATTTTCCTCCAGAAACTAGTAAAATTATTTTACTCTGTTATCTCCCATGAATTATGAAATTGCAAGATAATGTTCAAAATAAAAAACTAATGAATATAAGAAAAATAGAAGAAACAAAGGAAAGAAAAAGAATACAAAGAAAAACAACGAAAAGAACAAGAACATGATTCTGTGTTAGTGGTGTTGATTATTTTAGATCATTGTCACTGCCCCAGCTCTGAGTTTTATTGTCAGCCAAATTATTTGTGATGTAGAAGTTGTGAGAGAAGGAGTGATAATGCAGTAGAATTTCAAAATCATTCACTGAGAAAGTTTATAGTTCTTCTGTTTTTGTGAATGGGACCATTAAATTTCTATTCCTGACTTGAAGTTTCTAGCATCCTGCATGTTTCTTAGGTTCTTAAGTGAACGAATGGACACTACCAAGTAAATCTGGAGCATTAACAAACCAGCAGCTGTCTAATATGAACCTTCTGGTTGGAGAGAGAACAACTCTGAAATGTAAATCTACCTCTTTTTCAGTGTTTTACCTGATAGTCTTTGGCATTTCTTGGTTGGCTATCTTATTTTGCAAGGGCTGTCATAACAAAGTGTAACAGATTAGATGGCTTTAACAAAGAAATTTATTTTCTCATAATTCTGTAAGCAAGAAGATAGGGTTTGTTTCTTCTGAGACTCTTCTCCTTGGGTTGATAGAAGATAGATGTCTTCTCCCTGTGTCTTCACGTGGTCTTGTCCCTGTTGTAAATTTTTCTTCTTATAACAGCACCCTCATATTGTATTGGGGTCCACCCCGATGACCTCATTTTAACCTAAATGCCCTTTCAAAGACTTCAAATGCAGTCACTTTCTGAGATCCCAAGGTTGAGACATAATTTTGGAGAGACAATATTCAGTCCATAATATTGGCTAATAAGAAATTATACAGTATGACCCACTATGGTTCAAAGAGCACTGTTCTGGCTCAGGTTTAAGATAAAATGAAATTTTTGTTTGGTTTACTTTGTTATTCTTGTGAAGAAGAGTTGTTTTTTGTTTTGTTTTTAATCAAGGTCTTTCTGTGAAACTCTGCTTTTGGAGAAAATAAAACTGGTTGTCCTCATTTCCTCTAGGAGACCAAAGTCAGACATTCTAAAGACACTCAAACTAAAACAAGAACAATTTTCATTTTGAAACCCCATGCAGAATAACCTTACTAACAGAGGGGAAGTTGTATACTGGGGAAATTTCTGAAGTTTTTTGACATAGCATCATTAACACACTCTGACACTACATTTAATTTTTTTCAGTGGTCCATAGCCACCAATGCCATGGCTTTTTGGTCACTTCACTTGAGATTTTCTTCCATCTTTCAAGATTTCGGGAGTACAAAAGCATCTATAGAAATTTCAGGTCCTGAATTCCAAGATCCATTTCTAATCACAAGAGATATTTTGTAGTGATTCTGTACTGCAAGATGGGAATCAATAGATTAAACTAAGATACACTCAAAACTTATAACAGTGGCAAATTACTCATATTATTTATTCACTCAGCAAGGTCATTTTCTGGGAATACAATAGGAATACAGCAGACCATTATACCTGCCCTCACATAGATTGCATTTTTGGAATAGACAGACAGTAAGCAAAGTATAGGATGTTATATTGTCATAAGTACTGAGGGAGAAAACAAACAGGGAGTGGAAATTAGTTTTGTTGGGGGATTATGATTTCAGATAGTTTGGTAGGGATGACTTAATTGAGAATGAAATTGGAATAAAGACCTAAAAAAGAACAGGAGGAAACAAGTCATTTGGCTTCCTGGGGTGGGGAGCATCAACAGATAGAGGAAACAAACAGCCTGTGTAAAAACCCTGAGGCAAGAGTTTGCCTAGTTGATTCCACCAAAACTTTTTTTCTAGTTGGAGAAATGTGGATGAATAATTTTTCATTCTACCTTACTTAATTGATTATCTTAATTAATCTTCATGTTATGCACTTTGACAATGTTGTATTTACTCATATGAAGAGAAATGATTAAACACCAATAATAATTGTCAAAAAATAATAAGAAGCAGTAAACAAAGGAATGGTTTAAAGATAGGTGCCATGATGGATATCTGATTATCCTGGAGAGCAGGGGTGAACAGTGCAGTAAGCAGAGTGCTGCTGCTCCTGTTAGTCACACTTGGTTAACAGCTTCATACGAGTCACTCGCACTGGTTCAGTTTACTCAGGGAAAACAGCATTTAGTCTTGATTCTCCTGAAATAGATAAAGTGATATCCAGTATGAGACTCTTACTTCTTCTTCCCTTTCCTCCATTCTGTTATGTGGTAGGTTATCTTAAAATCTGCCAGGTTTTAAAACTTGAAGGAAGGAAATACTACTTTGGACAGTTTTTCCTCTGGTGAAATTTTTGCTTGTTACTTTTTTTTTTTTTTAATGTGCCTTTCTCTTCGCACAGAATCAATAATCTGGGAACTTGCAAGTAAAAGATTTCTTTTGGAGAAATACATAAACCAATGAAAATTGGTAATTCATAAACTACTTTTTGTTTCTTTAGTGTTTTTTTAATGTTTTTCTAATTTTCAAAATAAAACACAGTGGAAAGTTTGGAAAATACAGTGATGTTTGAAGACGAAACCAAAGGAAATGACTTTTAATATTTGTTATATTCATTTCTACCTTTTGTTGATAAATCTTATGTTTTAACTTTCAGTATTCTCTTCTACATATTTTCATACCCATTTAGGTAAACCATGAAAACATAATTTTAAAAATTATCTTAATAAAATTTATTTAGTATCGTGGTCATTGCCGGCCATGTTCTAGGCTCAACACGCTGGTGATGAAGTAGTAATCAAGAGAAATAATATCTCTGCTTACCCAAAGGTCATACCCTAGTGTGAGGAGATAGGCCATAAACAAATGACTATCATTATAATGTCATAGAGGTTAGTTCTCTGCAGAGAAGTAAAATAGCATAAATTGACACCAGGGGATTGGGTGACTACTATCAAAGAGAATCAGAATCAGATATGTGTTTAAGTCAATAGACAGATTTTATTCAATATTATTGTATTAGGAGAAAGAGCTGAGCTCAATTCCAAATACAGCAAAGATAACTGGGGATTTATAGCCAGGGAGCAGAATGAGAATTGAAAATTGCTGAGAGGAGATATCACACGTAGGGGGATTCTTCCTGAACTTACTAAACTACTGACGAGATTCTTATTAAAGGAAGGCCAGAGGTTCAGTCAGACATCAAGGGTGAGGGATGAAGAACTTGATCAGATGTCAAGGGTGATCACGTATCAAAGATGGAAGGATGACTTTGTAGGATTCTTTGCTAAGACTAACTTAGGCAGGTTGAGTATAGGGCCCAAGAAAAGGCCTAGTCAAAAAGAGGGCTCAAAGGAGCCTACCTAATTTTGGGGATAGTCTTTGTTACTACATTGAGTGGCTTGTCAGGCAAGATATGTCTGCAGGCATCATATTTAAATTGATATCTAAAAGATAAGAATCCATCAAGGAAAAGCTCAGGGACAAAGGGTTTCAGGCAGAGTAAATTTCTCCTGTTAGAGAAAGAGTCAGAAGATTGGCGTGTAGCCTACCATGAGTGAACGAGAGAGAGTGACCTGAGATGGGTCAAAAGGATAGGTAGATGCGTGACCACATAGGGCATTGGAAATCAGGTTAGAGCATTTAGATTTTATTCTAAGTGCAGTGGGAAGCCAGTAGAAGAATGATAAGCAAGACCGCATCATCTGATTTGTTCTGCCTGCTGTGTGTAAAATGGATTGTAGTCACATGAGCACAATCAGAGATAATAGTGCCCCATTAGTTTCATTAGAATCCAGTGTTTATCACCCTTGGCTCCATCTTTTCGGTAAGAATTTAAATAGATCCAGACTGACCTCTTTTCTGTTTGCTCCTCATAGTCCATGGAAAGTACCATTCACTTTTTGGCTCAATAAATTTGGGAGTGCAGGCAATTTCCTAAGCAGCTCCATCTTTGCTCTGTCTTCAGAGGAGCTAGACAGACTATTTTGTTTGAGCTCCAAATGAGAGAGATTATAGTTAACCTTATCTTGAGGTGTTGAAGCAATTTGGCAAAAAGATTTACCTCAAGCTTCTATTAATTAACTTATTTTTTATCATTATGTTTATCCTTTATTTTAATAAAATGGGATTATTTTCTCTTGAGTTATAAACAGATATGTGATAAATCAAATAATTTGAGCTATATGTTAGCATATCCAGTAAGTGAAGGAAAATAACTTTAAGGCAGTGAAATAAAGTACTTGAGGTAATAGCCAAATTGTTTTCAAAATTATTTTATATTTCCACTGTTTTTGTGCTTGATTTTTGATAAGCATTATTACTGAGGAATTTTTTAAACCTATGGCAAAATCCAAATAACTCAAAACAAGAGAAACTAGGGAGATCAGGCAAAACGCTCATTTAATGCAACTGTATAAATCTGAAAAGAAGTGGGCCAGGAAAGGAAAAGAAAAAATATCAGGAACTTTGATCTGATTCATCTGAGGTTCCAAGGGAGAAGATAACCACTTATTCTTTATTTGTAAGGAGATCAATATTTGAGACAACTTTTCAGTTGATGGGATGATAAATTTTGTGG